CTTATCGTGTTATCGGTAAAAAGTGCACGGCGACGGCGACGGCGACGACGGCGACGAAGACAGACGCAGATGATGGCTATATGTACAGACACATCTGTGTCTGTACATAAAAAGAAAAAACAGTTTTCCACTTATCGTGTTATCGGTAAAAGTGCACGGCGACGGCGACGACGGCGACGACGGCAACGACGGCGACGACAGACGCAGATGACGGCTATATGTACAGACACATCTGTGTCTGTACATAAAAATTATCTAATAAGCTCTGCTAAAAATTGTTCACAAAATCAGTGACATATTTGTAAAATAGAAAACATTACTCACATTCTTCAACCCATTTGAAAGTAAATAATTTTCAGTAATGAACAATAAAAAGGTAGAGCAATGCTTCCACAAGCCTCTAAGTAAGTACATTCTACAAAATAATATGGCAACTGATACTGTATATAATGCCAAATTCTTAAACCATCTTATAGCCAATATTTACTAGATAACGCGAGAAAAATCTGAACAATTTGGACTTTGACAGAAAAAACACCAAGTGTGAGATAAAAATATTACAATTTTAGAACACAACTGAAAACTGCACCATTTGATGACAAAATTGCTAATGTAACAATGGTTCACAAGTAGAGGTAGCCTACAACCAATCAGAAATATACTTGTTTAAATAAGTAATGATTTAACTCTGTGTTAGCTGTGCCAAAGTATAACTTTGTGATGGCTATATCTTCGGTCAGAGATCAGGGAGGGCATGTTCCTTACTTGTCATCTGGCAACAGACCAGCAAACAAGAGATTTTTTTATATTTGTAAAATAAAACTGGTCCTTTTTACCTGTGTCTGTGTGGGGACTCCAGTCCATATTTCCTGTATTCATCAGGAGACAGGCCAGCAAACATTAGGTAGAAAATGTGAAAATTCCTTTCCTTCACTCCCTGAGAAACCACCCTGGACTTTTCCAGCAGGTACTCTGTGATTTTGGCTGAAATTTTATGACACAATTTTAAAAATTAAATTACGAGGTGCGGATCCAGAGATATTTTCTGACAAACACCAAATTATCTTCGTTGATCCATCAAGGATATTAGACAGCTTTTTGCTTTTAAATGGCATTGCCCATATTTAGTCCATGAATCAGCTTGTCCTTGGATCATCTGCTCTGAATGGGATCTTACAGTGCCTTACCTCCTTGGACTATGCCATCATAGGAGAATTTCAGCTCAAGGAACTTCCCGAATCTGCTTGAGTTGTCGTTCATCACAGTCTGAGCATTGCCAAAGGACTCCAACAGAGGATTCACCTGGGAATGTGGAAATGACATCAAACTCAATGGATAATTTTTGATAAAACATCAAGAAAAGTAACTACCTTAAAAACAAATTTAGGTACATCAAAGTAGGTAGGTACATCAAAGAATTGAGGGGAATTTATCAATCATTTCCTTTTCTCTTTCTTTTATTTAGTATCAAACATGAAATATTTTCCCAAACATTTAAATAAACAGAGACAAAGAATTCATCATAAGCCTAAAATTACCTGCTGTATCTTATAGTTAAGATCCCTCTCATCACTTTCAGCAACATTCAACAAGTGTTGTATGAGGAATTTACACGTTTCTGTTTTCCCGGCCCCCGACTCTCCACTGATAATACAGCACTGGGAGGAGTTCTCCCTCAGGAGAGCCTTGTATGCCTTGTCTGCCACTGCAAACACATGGGGGGACAGGGGGGTCTGGTCATGGGGGGTCTGGTCGGACCCCTTGTGGTACTGCTTGGACACCTGGGAATAGCATCAATAACATTTATTTACTTACAGTAACCTTACAACTATTAGTTTTGACAATTTTAAGCAAATTTGTTAATTTTGACAACTCAAAATAATTCATTACCATTTCTGTTTTGAACATTTGCAAAATAACAACTGTGCATTCCTATTCAATAATTTACTAGTAATCAAATTTTGTTTTTCATTTGAAGATGGAAAATGAAAAGCTATCAGGTTTGAAACATGGACACTGATATAAGACACTAATGCATCATATAAGAATATATATATATGTATATAACTCTATTTATCTCCTATAACAACACTCCTATTCTTTAACCCCCCTCTAATAAAGGACTTCACTTTTTTAAAGATCTGACACCAACACTAATTTCTGCCTGTATATCTGAAACGTGAATTGGCTAAATAAAGAGATATAGCCTAAGAGATCTAATGTTTGGTTATCATTTTGCATCTGACATGACAGTATGAACTGTGTCTGCCTGCTCCAGCGGTTTCATCCATACATACCCATCTGGTAAAATATGGCAGCTCCTTGAAAGGATTCAGCGCAATGAGAATGTCACCAACATAGGTCTGGAAAGAAAGAAATAATCTGATCAAGCTTATCACTAGCGTTCTCTATGACCACTATATAACAATCATTCACTTTCATGTATATAATGTATTCATCACATTTTGTCCCCTCCACCCTCTTCTTACCCACTCCTTTTTCCACTACCTTTTTCCTTTCGTCTACTTACAAATTATCTGTGTGTCTTTATGTGTGTGCATGTGTGTGTGTGCGCACATTTAATGTTTGTGTGTGTGTCAATGTGCGTGTATGTGATTTCCAGCGTGTCACAATATATATATATATTTTTTTTTTTTTGCCTTTTTCACTCCCTTAGCCAGGGAGTAATCTCCCTAGCTACATCCCTACTACCATATCCCACTCTAACAAAACTGAACGTGTATCACAATTATATTCATCACAGCCTCTCCCCCACCTACCCCCGCCAAATCCACCCAAAAAACTTCGTCCTAACTTACATAAATCTGGTTCCCCCTGTACCTGTCCTGCAGGTGTGTCAGGATTGACCTCTCTGTGACCTCAGGTAAGCTGGCCAGGTCATCTGTGCTGGACACTGTTGGAAGGCGTACCTGGACAGGGACAAATCAACAGGTGTTGTACTACCATAAAATCTAAAATAATCCAACTGTTTTAAAAGCTTTCTCATTACAAATGCTGTGACCACTGTACACATACCTTTTCATCGATCAGTTCCTCCTGTATCCTAGCTAAGTTGAGGTTCTCATAGACATCTTCTTCCTCATCCTCATCCTCATCTTGTCCAGGAGCTGGGGACTTTGCCACCCTCCTCTGGCCCTCTTGAAGCTCCTCCTGCTTGGACAGGGGCACATGTCTGGGGGTCCTGAAATAGAGGGGCAGGTATGAGAGTCCTGAAAAAATGGGACATTTCTGAGAGTCCTGAAAAAGTGGGACATGCATGACAGTCCTGAAAAAGTGGGCATGTATGAGAGTCCTGTAAAACTGGGACATTTTTGAGAGTCCTGTTAAGTGGGATATGTATGAGATTCCTGGGCTGAGATAGAGGGTTTTGTATGAGAGTCCCCATTAAGTGTGATATTTCTGGGAATCCCTAAATATTATGACATATATAACAGTCCTGAAAAAATGGGGCATGTATGAGAGTTCTAAAGAACAGACACGTTAGAGAGTTCTGAAGGGTGAAAAATCTCAGTTTCAAAATCAAATGAGGAAAACACAAGGATAGTCCACCATAAAATTGAACAATATGAAACAATAATTACCAACCACACACATATTTCTTTATATATTTAGTTACACTAAAAACTATCAAAATAAAATTTCTTAAAACTTAGCGTCAGAAAACAAAACACTGTGATCAGTTTTAGAAAAAGATAAATTTCAAATTGATTAAGTAAAGTAGGTTGAAGGTCTAAGGTTAAAAACTATGCAGTATGTACTCCCTGAAATGACCATGATATGTGAAATACTTACATGGTTCTACTATTCACTCTTAAAAACGTAATCTCAGAGTCACCATCCTCTCCTCCATTTTGGATTTCAACCTCCATCTTTGCCCCAGAATCCTGTTCTGCTTTCTTCAACATGTCCACTATCTTTTCGGTCCCTCCAATATCTGATGGCTTCTGGTCTTCATTATTCACAAGATGTGGGTTTGCTTTCTTTTTCAGCAGCATGCCTACTATCTTTATCTGCAAAAGAGGGTGTCAAAACATATCCAAAGCATTACTTGTACTGTATATGCTATCTCTTAACAAAATGAAAAGTTTGCAGCAGCAAGTTTGCAGCAGTTTGCAAGAAAAATTTTATTGCTGCTAACTTGCTGCAAATTTGCAGCAGGCTTAATATTTTGCTCAGAGAGAGAAAGATGCTGCTGGAATGGGAAGGAAGGAAGAGTGAGAGAAAAAGAAGAATGGAGATAAAGAAGGATTGTAGGGAGTAGGCAGAAGAGATAGAGAGAGAGAGAGAGAGAGAAAGAGAGAGAAGAGAGAGAGACAGAGGGAGAGAGGCTATATGGGAGAGGAAGGAAAATAGAGGGGGCTGTGCACAGACAAAGAAGAAGAGAGAGAAAGACAGATTACCTGGCAGTACTTGGCAGCCACATGTAGGGCTGTCCATCCGTCACTGTCCTGGGCATTAACGTCCACTGTACTGTCCAGCAGTAGCTTGACCACCTCTCTGTACCCATTGGCACTTGCTATATGTAGCTGGAAAACAGATTTTTGATGTGAAGTCTTGAAGAGATTAGGACAGGTGTCAAAACTTGCAATTTCATATTTATTTATCAACTTCTACCATATGAAACAATTCAAAAGATGTCACATACATTTGCATACCATGCTTAATTTCATTGCAAAATCAAGTTGAATGTTTTTTTTTGCTTTTCATCCTTGTCATAATGTCAAATACTATATATAGCCAAAATAACAGTTACTCATTCCTATATTTTTAAGTGTCAATAAATTAGTAATACAAATGCACGTCATTCTCATTATCATTCACATCATGCAAGCACAAAGACTGGCAATGTTATCAGGAACCTACCAGAGTCACACCATTATTGCTGGCAAGACCCACTTGACCTTGACCTTGAGCCAAAAGTTCCTTCACATCAGATGCCATCCTCCTGGGAGCTTGGAGACGTATTTCTTTCAATTTGTTGCTGTCAATACCTACATCAGAAAATGACAATTTGATGCAAATTCTGCATATCCTTTGCTTACCTTAACATGTTCTAATATATAAATCTCAGAGCTGAAATTTTGAAATACTCTCTAACATGTTTATATACCTCTCAAAGTAGACTTGTCCAGTTATGCATGCTGTCCAGTGTGAATTAAAGAGTTGGGTCGGTCCAACTCTAAGAGGGGAGGGGGGGTTCACGCTAAAGTGCAATCAATAGAATCGGCTTAATAAGCCCACAATTATGAAGTACCCTCCAACTGCCCGAGAAAGTGTGTTTCCAGACAATTCAACTGTTTCCACTGATTGCACTTTTTATCGAGATCTCCCACAGTGTTAGACCAACTCAGCTTGTACAATGTACAATGCAGTCTTTATGATTACCGAGTCTGTCAAGATGCCTCGCGAGCATTAACGCTGCCTCACTGCTCTCTGGAGCGTGGTCTGATGGGAAATTCCCATCTATATCAAGTACTGCAGCATCTGCTCCACTCTGTAACAATATTAAAGAGGATAGTATACCTTACTTACACAATAAATAAATAAATAAATAAATAAAATAAATAATAATAATAATAATAATAATAATAATAATATTCATTGATTTTTGCAGATTTTTACCAACAGACCAAGACCTTACAATTATACTTTGCAATAATGCTGCATTTTCCTCTGTCACAATGTAGCAATAATTGTGTTATGACACTTACATGAACAAATGTACACTGTCAATTAAATAATGTAAATAGTTAACAAGCTTTTCATTTCATGACTTAATCTGTTTCTCTGAGGCAAATCATATACAAAAATTATTTTAAAATATTAATTTTAATAAGTAGTGGTAATTTAAGTCAACCCTTGACGTGTCACCTGTAGCAGCAGCTGCACCATATCTGGGTTGTCGCAAGCGGCAGCTATGTGAAGTGGCGTCCACAGGTCCACATCTCGTGCATTCACACTCGCTCCTCGTGCGATTAAAACTTCAGCCACTGATACATTGTCATCTTGAGCACACTTAAAGAGATATTTTGAAAGGAAATTATATTATTGTAGGTATTGTTGATACTTTCTTTGTACTTTTAAGTAGTTTTTTTTTTTTTTTTTTTTTTTACTTTTCAGGTAATACAAGTTTTATTAAATTTTTATTTTCATATGAGAAGTTTTCATTCAATAATGCATTTAAAATTTAATGGAAATGATGGTATAAGGATGTTAAAGGATGAAATATTTGGGAAAATTTCTGGAATAGTGAGTACCAAAATTCATACTTTTCTCATGCCTCTATGAAACATCAAGTTGCAAACTTATTTATTTCAGTATTACAAAGCATTTACAAACAAGTCATGTTTTGATCCATCTTTGTAAATTTTTTTACAACGTTCGCTCATTTTTGTTCAAAACCTCTACAGCATTAAATGTAAAGAATGGATTTCAGGGTAACAAAAGTCAACCTGAAAATTCTGTTCAAATGTTGCATAAAAGGAGAAATATGTGCAAAGGAAATGCTCAAAAGAGACTTTTTTATTGTGTCCCTGTAAGACTGTGAAAAAAAAATGTCCAATATTTTTTTACATACCACCTCCTTATTACTAACATTACTGAAATATACCCATGCAATACATGACTATCCTATATAGTATACAATTATCTCACCTGTGTGTGTGTGTGTGTGAGTGTGTGCATGCATGAGTGAGTTCTTGTGTATGTGCATGCTTTCATGTGTACATGCATCCACCATATGTGTGATAAGCCCATACTTGTGAATACACTTTCATGCAGCCACAGCATAGCTGTTCATATTTGGTTGTGATTTCTTAACAGCATTCATAAACATTCAACACATAGTTTGAGGTACATATAACTTCCCTGATGCATTTTCATGCAAGGTCTTAACACAGTGACAACGTAATGTAAAGGTATATAACACACAAATTTAATTACTTTGCCTATGGAAACATAACATCCTGTTACAAGTCATTCATCATAACATTGAAATGAGAAAATTGAAGTTTTACATTATGGAAATAGTATTACATGATAATTATGATTTGATTGTACAAACTGATTGTTAGTTTGGGGTTAAAATTATAGAAATAACATTATCTTACTGCAAACGCATATTATGTGACATCACAACATTAACATCTAGTATTTAACTTTATATATATATATTTCTTCAGGCATTATGTATAAATACTGATGATGTACACCCATGCTGGACAAATGTGTTATGTATATATAGGGAAATTCACACATACATGTACAAAAAACAAGGCAGGACATAATTTCTTTATCCTTGAACTAGGTGAAGTTCTAAATGACACTCAGAACAACAACTGATACAAAAGGACAATTCATTTATATTAGAGCATCAACACCTTAGCAGAAAGCCATCTCTGCACAGTTAAACTTCAATCAAGCAGAGGGGTTTCTACACAATACCACTTAATTCAATTAGTACTCAAAAAAAAACATGCCCCAGCACACACTTTTTTGCCTGAGTAAACAACATAGGAAAACATACTTACCCAAAGCTCTACATATATCTAATTCTAGAGGCAAGTGGAAAGAGAGAAGAAAAGACAAAAGAGAGTTTGCTAAAGATTTGGTAAAATTATGAATGGAAATAAAGAGATAGACAGAGAATTAAATAATTAAATTTAAAGTTATTAAACCATTTATTGGAATGAAAGATCAACTCAAAAAGTTAATGAATATTAAGGCAAAGAAGAGTGGGTCAATTACTAGTATTTGTTAAAAATGCTTTAAAATTATTAAAACAATTTAAAAATTGAAGAAAATTTTATAAATCAATACCACTGACAGCTTATTATAAGAAAAAAAACTATTACTAGTAACCTAATAAATACCTCCCAACAAAATATGTAAAAAATTATATTTATTAGACTAAGGTAAAAACTTCCTAAGCCATACTGGTATTTTCATTTAAGAAAATATAAGGAAAATGTTTGTGAGGTTTGTATATAATGCTACATATTCAAAGAGATAACCATATGTTAGACTACAATTCAATTGAATGTGTGTGTGTGTATGTATGTGTGTGTAAAATGGTAAAGCATCAATTTAGACTGTCCAAACTATAATTCAAGTTTGAAATTAGTGCAGTGAAACATGTGTTCATGAAAAAAGAGCTCAATGAAATTTTGACTAAAAATGTTCCTGGTGCAGTTATAATATTAAAAATTCTCACCTGGTGAAGAAGCGTGCCACCTTTGGCATTTGTCAAATTAGGCGGGAAACCATCCTGTAGTAGTTTCATAACTGATAATTGAAGAATACTATTATCTTTACAAATTGGGCTGTGATGTAACATAGTGTTGTTGCTAATCAAGGAGCTATTTATATAAACTGTGAAATACATCAAACTAGATACTGACAGTAGCTATTCAATTACTAGTAATCTGAACACCACAGGTTTATATTTTCCTTCCAAAAAATAATTTTTATGGAATACAGTAACTTCAGAATGTTGTTTCAAAAAATTCTGAAAACTAACATGTCTCTGTGTGAGAAAATTAACAGTAATGGCAACATCAATGATACATTTATAAGAAAGCAATAAATCTCCTATTCATTTTCTTCTTCTTCTCTTTCTTGTTATCTTTTAACCCTGAAATGTATCAGCAAACACTTACCCTCTCTGTCATCAAATCTTGCTGTGGCATCCCACAGACGGGCGCTGCCATGAAAGTTAACCTGGGTCCCCTTTTTGTTCTCCTTCCGCTTCCGCTGCACTCCTCCTCTTTGGGCTTCTTCCTTCTGTCGTTCATTGTACCTTCTCACTTGCTCGTGTCTGAGCTGCTTGCAGAGCTTCAGTCTCTGCGGCAAAGGTAGAGAATCCAGCAGAGCTTGGTCTATCTCCATTATGCATAAGAGTCTATTCACTTGTAGGTTGATTCAAGTGCCTTTACTTCTTCTTTCCTTTTTTAGCTGTTCCTTCAATAATCATCAAGTCAAAAATGAAACCTACATCACAGACTTAATTTGTCCCAAAATTATGCTGCTCGATAGAGGTTGGGGAAAAATGCCTAAATTGTTAACTCCACTTGAGTTTAAAATACTTTTTATAAACAGCAATGTATCTTCTTTTCTGTTGACATCAAAAAGTTATGTAATACCTAAAGTTTGCACTATGGCAAAAAAACTCCATTTTTAAATTCAGACTTCCTGCATTCTTGAAATGATTGAACTGAGCGCCTTTTTGACAGAACATATTGTCTGCAAGCACATTACTCCATTGACTTACAGGTATAATTTATTAATTATTTATCAAAACCTCATCAATTAAATATTAATTTAGTTAATATTTTGTGGTTCTGTACCATTCAGTCCTCTTCATTATTATAAGGCCTTCCTGGGGCTTTGTCTTTCTAACTGTACTGCCACTATAATGACCTGGAATTAAACACAAATAACACACATAAAAACTATGTAAAATTGTTTTAAACATGCATTTAAGTAGAAAAAACCTTATGTATGCATGAATAGACATTTATCATATTATAGTTCATTAAAAATTTTTCCTATCTCAAAAAATAGATTGATAGATTGATAGATTGATTGATAGATTGATTAGATTGATTAATCTGTAGAATATATCTATACTGAGTTTATATCTGTTCTGCAACACTGGTGTTCTATATACTGTGTGAACCATGTTCTAATTGTATGTATGTACATGTGGATTTTTAAAAATACTTCTGATCCTGAAAATAAAGAATAGCTGCAGTCAACTACTGGCACTGTTTCATTTTGGCAAAATTAGTACTAGTACTAGCTAGACAAAGCGAAACATTTCACACATGTATATTCCTTGGCTTTAACCAGCACCTTCATCATTAGCTACCTTACTCTAACTTCAAATGAAAATGATGAGTTCGTGGAAAATATTATTGAATGTCTTAAATATCTGACCACTGTATAAAAGCATACGGATGTGAAATTTCTTAACATTACCCCTGCAAACATTTTACAAACTGAAGATTTATTAAAACTGTTTAGTTATTTAAAAAATTCTGATTCCATCCCAAGTTCCTATTCAGAATTTCACCAAATTTCCAATAATTTTATTTCACTATTTCTAATCTCAGGAATTACATAATATGTCTTAACAAAAATAATTACAGAAAATATAGCTGAAAATTCATTCCAATTAATAGTAAGAACCTGCTGTACTCATACTGGCTTAATTTGTATCATATTATACAATATATCATATAACAAGCAGTAAGCAGTGGGCAATAAACATGGCTATCTACCAAGAAATATATCTAACATTATCATAAGTCCCTAACTATGCCAATACAAGACATTGTTTTATACTTAGATATTTATCATTACTAGTAAGCTGACAACAGACTGAAGAGATAGCAATGAAACACTTAAGTACCTTTTATTTACACTCATAAATATTATCTGATACAGAGTGGTGGAATTCCACATACTGATCAATCTTTGATCTGGCCTCCAATCAGTCCACAGTTACTCACAGCTAGCTATATTGTTACCTGCATACAAAGACATTGTGGTGAAGTGCCCTAAATTATGTAAGAAAGTCCTCCATTTTGAGGGAGTGATTGAGCCACTTGCTTCTTGTAATACCAAAGAGTCCAACATTTCCAAGTACCTTAAATATTTGAGCTGCCTCCACCCACCTCCATTTTCAATACTGAAAAAAAATCCTATCCCCCCCNGAAAAAAAAATCCTATCCCCCCCCCAATATTGGGGAGGGGGTGGAGCACAGTGGTTCATGAGTCTTCCCCACCCCACCCCCATCCTGCAAGTATGCCTGCTAAGTCAATGCTCCTAAACTTCATAGCTATTTTAATCATTTTTTAAAACCATAAACCTATTCATTTTCAGGGGAGGGGGGCAACTAAAAAATCGCCCTTTCATATGAAATGCATCAACATGTATCACACTGAGAATTGGGTTAAATGCCACAAAAGAGCTGCCATATGATTCACCAATATTGAGTTCTGACAGTACCGGTACTGTTATTTAAATCAGTGTACACAAATTCTTCCAAGAAAAGGATCGCGTCATTTTACAAGTAGTTATACAGTCATCTACTAGTACTGCAGCTATATGCCATCTTACAAACAATCCTGACCATAGGCCTATTATGATAACCAGTGTTGCCAAGTTTATGTGTCTCTCTCTCTCTCTCTCTCTCTCTAACACACACACACACACACACACACACACACACACACACACACACATGCAGGGATGCAAGACCCCCTTAAGCATATTATTCATTTCTTATCACAAACCACTGACAGCTTAATAACCCGTTAACTGTCACCCTGAGTTGTCACCGTAGTGACCATAACATTCCCATACCCAACACACTCTCTGTCTCATATATGTATGGAAAATGGCTTTTAACCCACATAAATGTACTTTCTATACAGACTCTGTGCTATGCGAACAAAGGGGAGTTTCCAGTGTACTATGAAACTCAGGGTACACAAATGCATGCTACAATCTGTACGTTTTTAAAATTAAACATTTAAAAAAACTGAAGATTCCCTGATTCTGACACATTTTATTAACTTCTTGCCAAATTAAACTTTCTGTTAACTCCTACATCTATTAGACTATAGAGACCTAGTAACACATTATTTCTCCTCACTTTTCCCAATACTAGCTGCCTCAACAGTCTGTTTAAAAAAACTGTGAGATTAATTGATTTTTCAAGATAAAAATACTTGTGTACGTATATCCCCTCCACACAAACAGTTCTTCCCCACATGATTCATTCACATCTACTTCAACAGCAGAGCCAGGAGGGAGAAGTAAAATGGAGGGGTAACATGTATAGCACCTGCAGTATGTGCAAGTCTCAGGTTCAGTCAACCGTGAATTTAACTACCTGTGCAGTGGTTCACTCACTATTTGTGTGTCGATCAGCACGAATTACGTTCTTCGATCTCCAGGTGTACTCAGTATGTAGGTGAACTACGCAACTCAATTAATCCAGCCGCAGTGCCAGCTTATATAAATTAATTTTCGAGCCTTTAATTATCTATGTGTGGATTTCACAGGGGTTTGGGGTTAAAAAAAGGGTAGCATGGCCATTTTCGCCTTCCCCCCTTTAGCTCGTAATCGTGTATCCGCTCTGCCTACTTTATATCTGGACGTACGTTATCTCCGAATCGATCTACAATTATGCCTGGAAGGTGCTAACAGACACCTATTAACTAAATGAGTTGTTATTCTATTACTTAGTACAGCTAGCGGGGTGCCATGTTCACTGCAATATTATGTCTACGCCAGGGTCACCTGTTGATACAAATGTACATGTAGTAATGTGCAACGAAAATCTTAGTGTTCCAAGGGACAAACTATTGTTATATACATACCGATTCTGTACAAGACCTAATTGAGAGGGAGAAACAGTATTTCCACTCCTTTTCACTCTCAAAGAGACTTCATCGCACTTAGACAAAAAGTTGACAACTTTTGATTAAAGATCTCGGCGTGAATGACAACACGGAAGTAATTATCGCGCATGCGGATGTTTGTCTCGTGTTGCTATTTTTAGATCCAGCAACGTGACTCAGCGCGAGACGTGACACGCTGTTGAATGGCTTGCGGTGAATAAATCGATTTGTGGATTGATGACTGTGGATCGAACTGTCACCTAGTTTACGTCACTGTGGTTGAAACAATCACAGATTTTGGTGTCGTGGTTATAACTTATATGACAACTCTGTCAGGATTATAAGTCTCCCTCTTGTGTAAATCAACCCTTGAAATGTACAACAAGGATCAACATGCGACGTCAGTTGGCCACGCCCAATGATAGAGAGCTTTATATCATGAAATTAGAGGAAAACAGAACTGTCATTCATCGATTAATAATAATAATAATAATAATAATAATAATAATAATAAATATACACAGTCAATTATTATTATTATTATTATTATTATTATTATTATTATTATTATTAAATTTGGGGATTGCTTTGCTTGTGTCTATAAACAAATATATATAGGACCCATTCAAAATCGTTTTAATCTCGAAGAAGCTTACACACAATTTTATACCTATCAGTCATTGTTTCACTCATTAAAATAGTGCAAATAAAGGTACATGTAGGGACCCGTGAGAAATTTTGAGGTCAGACGTTTTGAAACCAGCATGTATAGGCCTATATTAATACCCGTATTATTTGCAACTTGACTTCAACACACTGTTCCCTAGCTGCCATTGTTCCCTCAGTAGCCGAAAATGCTATCAATATCATTTTATTGTCCTTTTAACTAGTCCGTATATGTTTTAACATGAAAATGTGCTGCTGTGCAAGTCACGGTTTTATAGATGTGATACGTGCTGTTAGTATATTATTGGCCTATACAAGCATTGTACTAGTATGCGTGTTCGTCCCGCTAAAACAAGTGATAAAAAAGTAGAGAGGAATTGCTGGTAGCTAGGCTTTCATTTACTGTATATAGATAATGGGATAGGCCAGGACTAGGTAAAGAAAGGACAGGATAGGAGTCAGATAGAAGCTAGAGATCAAATGAAATAACATATCTGTAAGAGAGCTGTAGGAGTTGTGAAGTTTTGAGAGCCTACCTTGAATGACAATAGCCTCCACCAGGACCGCACTTTTGTCCAGTTTCATGAATTAGCCAGAGACATACCAGTATCTGTGAAATTTTCAAAATCTGGAGAAAAATCAATCTGTGAACCTGGTAGAGGGCTGAATTAGGACGTCTCGAGATCGAGGCACTTGTGGGAAAGGGCAGGTAAGCTTTTACATAAAAAATATAGCTTTTTTAAGATACAGTCGAACCATACTGATAAGTGACAATATATAGTTTTAAAGGGGCTCCGCGTATGGGAAGCCGACCCTCCCCCCTCTCTTGATTTGGTTTTTTTTTTTTTTTTTTTTTAGAGGGCGAACGGCTACATTAAGTAGGGTGGTTTAGAAATATGATTCAGCTAGTCAAAATTCTAATTTGAAGAGGAGTCAGAAATCTAAAGGGGCGCAGGGGGGGGGGCAAAACCCCCTAACACCCCCTAAATCCGCCATTGCTTTGCACTAAATCAGGTAATTCCCATTTTTTCTTTAAAAAAACTTTTAGCTGAAACCATGGGAGTTTTGAGATGGTCCCCAGACAAGTGGGTTTACTTTCAAACTCATATTATTTTCAACCAGAATCAAACAAAACTCTTCTGCCTGCAGTTGTTCTCTCACTACCGGTGGTTAAAATACATTCATTGCAGTTTCATTGCCTTGAGAATCAGCCCGTATACTAACGTACTGTAGTATGGTTTTATGTATGTGTCATGTGCTGCTGGCATCTTATGCATGAATATGCATATTCGTGTGCGTCCGGATGCCAAATAAAACGAAGGATATTAAAGATGAGAGGAGTTTCTGGTAAACTTGTTACTATGTAAGACACGGGGATGAAAAATTTGCTTGATTTTTCTTGTCGCTTGTTACTTTGTACGTCTTTATTTCAATTTTAGTAATCTATATATCTATTTCTTTGTCTTTTTTTATTTTGAAGGGAACACAGGGAAAAGTGGGATCTACTATTCTCCCTCCGGATCAGTTATTATAGACATAGTCGTATAAAATTCCGAAGACGCTAAGGTCTAACAATTGTATATAGTCTAATATGAAAAATACCATAGAATGACACCAGGGATATAAAGTGAAGTTATGGAAGTAGAATAAGACTGACTTAGTAACACGATGTACTTGTATATAAAATGTGTGTCATACAAGATAAAGATATAAAGTAGATGTATTACATATGTATTTCAAATATCATACCTATTTGTGTAGGAAATCATATACCATAAAGAGCCTGTAAAAGTTACCGATTCAAACAGGCATTTGCGTTCAATGCTACAGGCTTGTAGTGTGTATAAAGATCACTTTTTACAGGCACGGGATTACTCAAAGATGGACAGCTCCTACCACACTTCGGTTCTTGTCACCAGACACAAAGAGGAGGGCAAAATGGGCCCCAACTCGCCTCTCTACAAGCAGCCATGGCGGACACCCCTCACGAATCTGATAGCTTTTGTTGCTGGTCTTCTGGTGGGATTAGTGGTCGGAAAACTAGTATTTGTGAGTATTGGGCTTGGGTTGCTTAAAATATCACACACACGCACACACAATCACAGAGAGAGAGAGAGAGAGAGAGAGAGAGAGAGAGAGAATGAGAGAGAGAGAGAGAGAGAGAGAGAGATTCTTTACTAATTAAACTTCAGACAATTAAAACTCAGATACAAATTACTTTTAAAAGAGTATTGAGACAGCACATGTAAACAGATAGTCATCTGCCCAGCACGGTTTCACGTTTTATCATTTTTGTAAAATCATTATAATTTTTACGTTTCAGGACGCTATCTCTATGCTAGATGTCAATGGTCTCGCCCCAGTTTTACACGGAAACAACTTCACTGGATCTAATCCACCACGCCCAAGTTACAGAAAAATGGCGCCTTCGTCAAGAAACAACGTGTTGTGCAAAAAACAAAGTACTATCAGTCGAGGAAACTGTTTCAGGATATTGTAATATTAAATATTGGCGAAAAGCAGGGAAAAAGTTATCAAAAATTATTTCAGTTTCATAATTCAGTTGTAATATATGTGAATAAATGGTATTAAATATCGATATCTTAACGGCTAGTTTGTTTTTTCTGTCCCACTAATCATGTTAGTTATGGTATCTGAAATGAAAGTCACTATTTATAACAATATTCACCTGTGTTGTGATCATTTATAAATAAAAGCACATGATATTGAAGGTGGGACAACCTTTTTGACCAAAGTTGTATATTAAGATTTGATTCCACACGAGTCTATATGTAAATGTTACAAGTATTTTTTCGTCAACGTATCAATACTGTAAGCGTTTGACAAAAAACCTTTATTTACTGCCATACATGCATTCCTTAGGATAACAGATAAATCTTCAGTATTCAGTGACTATATCAATTAACATTTACACACGTTCTTACGGGTTACGTCATAATTGCGATTTTACCTTTAACTGAGCACCCACAAACACCGTATTAACGGCATTTTATGACATCATGAAGTACTCAAAAAACCCTCCCAGCAATTTTTCTCTATAGCCTTAGTTAGAATTTTATTGTTAACAGAGCAAATTAAAACAATGCCTTTGTTTAACCAAAATCTGCAGGAGTTCATAACTCTATAAGAAAAACATTTAAACCAAAGTGATGGCACAGGATTAAAGCAAATAGACTTGCGGTCAACTATGCCAATTTTCGTGATAAAATCTTGTTCAGTACGTTTAATAGAGGGTTTACTGTCATCCAGAGGTACCTCGAATCCGATTATCAACCAAGGATGCCTTGAATCTGAGATTTAATCCCTTTGGAGGCGGGGAGACCATTAAGAAATTAAGCGGGAATATTTAGTCAGTTGTTATCCCTTTAATGAACAAAATTCACATTGACAAACTGCACCTCCAATACAGCGGCTAGCATTCTGTTTGTTCTAGTAGAGTTTTCGCGTGTCGGATCCCAGTCTCGTGAGAAATAGATTCTAAATCCCGCCTCCTTAAGCCCTTTTAGAAACGCCATCTGTTCCAAACTGGGGGGTTTGTTGCTAACGTGAATATGGAACTCCATTGCCATCTGTTTCACATTGCGAAGACTTTCTTCCTGCAGCATTACCGGCACAGCCGTGTATTCTGACAGCTCAATGTCGAACTTTAAAACGTCAATAATTCTCTGAAATTGCAAACAGGGGAAAAAGGTTAAGAATGTTTTCAAAAGTAGATATTTGGCGCTTACGAAGTGTATTTAAAACAAAAGCAAAGGGGGCATTCAGAAGCAGACGTCGTACCAGCTGGATCGATCCAACTCTGCAGGGATTCTCGCTAAAGTGCAGGCAGTGTAA